GAATAATTTGGTGACAAATGTACTGTGAATAGAAGAAATAACGTAAACACGATGCTTGCTTGGTAAATGTATCACGTGTGATTGCAGTACTTGTACTAACAACAAACTGCGTTAATAAACCCTTTTGAGTTCTAAGGTCAACTTTTGTCAACTTTCAGCAAAGAAACTTTTACATTTACGCTCAAAGTTAAATTATGTTCATTTGGTCTATAATTAAAAAGCAATTATAGAGTAGAAAATTGAAATGAGAAAAATGTATCACCAAAATTTGGGCAGAAGGAAAATATGGTGTTCAAAGGGTGGTACAATCGCAACAATCACATCTGACCCACACACATGTACATAGCTTCGTGTAGTGTGCCCTCTTATGTCAAACACATGCAGACCTTTTAAATAGAGATTCAGTGATCACCAAACCTTTAAATAAAGTCAGTTACAAGTGTGTTCCTCTTTGTTCCTGATCTTTATTGCTTCATTACAGCCTATGGTAATCACTCAGTGTCATCCTTTGCATGGCATCCAACGCATGAAAACAGAATGCTGACAATTACACCAGGTGCTACTATAAAAGACATTACGGTATTTGAAAGAATTGCGTTGGTAAGTGGTATTCTTAAATTATTTCTGCTGGTGTTGCCAAGGCTACAATTGGGGGCGGGGGAGGGGGCATCTTTTGCTTGCACTCCTGAGAATGAGGAGGATTCTGTATAAGAGAATATGTCTGTCTGTGATGCCTTTGTTATCCCTGTCGTTTTTTTTGTGGTCACAGTAAACTCGGAAATAAGTGTACAAATAAGTTTGTAGAAAAGCATCCCAGGGCTGACAATGAAAACATAATTGTGATTTTTTGCAATATTTTCATAAAATGTGAATTAAAGAAAGTGTTCGGATTTGAATTTATTTCTCTTCTTTTGATTAGTTGGGTGAAAGAATGAAAATAAATAAATCAGAATATTTGTTGTGACATTGCAACAATTGAGTATTGATGTATTACCCACAATGCACTAAATCAGTTCATTTCCTGTCAAATAAAACTGCATGTTTTCTGTTATAGGCTTGGTCCCCCCACACTAGTGTAACATGGTCATGTGGTAAGAAGTTATTACACATTTCTTCCATATCTGATGATTTAGAAAACGACATCTCCGCTAAGATGAAGTGCCGTGCGTCCCACGGATACGGCTTACATGCAGATATATTGGCTAACCTTGAAAATGTCAATGGTGATAAAAAATTAACGTCGCTATGGACATGGCTACATGATATCCTTTAATATATTTACAGTAGTGGTGTTTAAGGAACTAGTAACAATGTGTAAAATAAAAGTGGTAGAAATTTGCAATATTTTTCTGAGTGGAAGATTCCATCAATTTAATAACAAAGGGTTAATAAAAATACAGGGTATTCAAACTTTGTTTGCATAGAAACAGTTACTTTGACAATGATTTTCCCATTGGATTAATTCAGCCATTTTGAATTTAAAATTGGTCCAAACATATACAAATGAGATTTCAAAAAAAAAAATATAATTTTTTCCTCAAATAGCCAGCTGCATGGAATAAAGATTCCTGAAATTCCTGCGTCAAAAGTGTGTAGTCCATTCTAAACCCAACAACCTGTTCATTGACCTAAAAGTTTGGTGCAAAAACATTCAAATTTTTGGTATAAAATCACTGACACTGTTGTAGATTTTGATTCAGTTACAATCCTTAGGCAATTCACACAGGTTACGAATTTGAAAGAAGATAGTAAAGTCAAACTTTCAGGAAAAACTGCTATGAAGCTGCCAGGTGTGAAGTCGATTGTGAAAGGTGAAACGAACAGTAGTGGTGTTTGTATCCGTAGCAATCAGACATTGGTAGAATGGGATGGTCTGGATTGGACTTTGGAATCTACGATGTATACGAGTGAAGCAAGGTAGGTGAACAGACATAAGAAATGAAACGATACGCTGTTTTTCACTAGATATTGTATACACAGTGGTTTCAGAGAAAATAAGTACATGGTAACATTTTATTATAATAACAATTAAATTAAAACTTACCGTTAGAAAAACTTTGTGTCTTGTGCCACCAAACACATAATTGCAACACTGTCAGGTTAGAAATATCTTTACCGGTCTCTTTAGACATGTTCAGTTTTTTGTGATTCTATGTTTTCTATTCTTACAATTAACTTTTTGCAAATCATCAAGATGTGGTGCAATCGACCAGTGAAAAGAGTAGGTACCATAAAATGCATTTTTCATTCATCATTTAATTTATGAATTTATCTGTGATGAGTAAACAAGTCTATTTTCATGTTTCAGGACACGTATCTTGCATCTTTGTGGTTGGAGGTTTGATAGAGATGACAAGTCAATTATGGAATTTCTTGCAGAGTATGTAAGCCTTTTATCCCTGCCCTCACACGCCTATGCGCAAACACATGCATGCACATAATCATGAAAAAAATCAATGCCAACAGATAGATGGCAAGTACACTGTAATTGAACGATCTTTTGTGAATTGTCAAAAAATGTGATTACAGCAATGAAATACTTACATGAAATACATGATGTATAATGGAGTTGTAAAGTTTGTATGTCAGAGACATGGCTGCGGAACTGGGAATGTATCCAGTATCATGGGTATGAGGAGTTTCTTATAGCCCGCCTCTGGTACATCTAATAACCGGGTGGTGTAATGCTTGCCTTTGCAATATGTGCAATGTGGAGTTCTGTCACCAGTTTGTGTTCTACCAAAAGGAGGGTGTGCGTAACGAGCATCAGGTTGCGAAGCTACCATAGGAGGGATTACAATGACGGCCTGAATCTGGCTTCTCACGACAGCGCTTTGTCTGATTAAAGTAATTGTTAACGTTTGTATTGTAGTGAAAGACCCTGACAGTAGGTACCCAAAGACAGTCGGTATAGCGTTATGTTCGCCCCTAACTATGCGCTGTGTGTAACAAAATCCCAATAGTAATCGGCGCCGATCAGAATATTGCGTTGTCACTTGCGAGGATAGAATCCAAGAAGCTTTTGAATCTGCTCTGAAAAAAATATGGTAGCCGTCATGGCGCCAGTCAGCCATTTTAAATCCGACCTGAAAAATAAAATGACGTGCATCAAGGTCCCATAATTTTTTAAGTATTTACCAATTTTAAACCAAATCCATTTATGCACAACCAAGATCCGGTTCTAGAATGGCAGAAATGCTTGCCAGTCGGCCATTTTTAATTTGATCTGAAAAATGACATGCATCAAGGTCCCAGGTCTACCTCATATTCAGAAATTGCTCTTTCTCAATTGTATCTGTTTGATCTGTGTTGATTTCAGACTGGAAGAGGATGGTGAATATGAAAGAGCGGCTGCAGTCTCGTTGTTTAACCTCAAATTGAAACAAACAATACAAACATTGAATCGAGGAAAAAGTGAGTTTGAGTTTGTATCAATAACAATGACATAACACTACCAATGTAGTGCTTATTAAACTAAACTCCTCTGGCTGCTCACAATCATTGCTTGATTCCATCTAGGTGTGTGCAGTTTGGAATTAAAACAAAAATAAAGACAAGGGATACACTAGATTCTTGTCTCGAACATGTCATTTATGACCATTTTCTATTCTGTATCTCTAATATTTAAATACATACTAAAAATAATGTTTTTTTGGTCAATTATTTTTTAAGGTGGTGCTGATTTAAATCTGACAGTTGTTGCTATGGCGCTGTCTGGCTACACTGACGACAAGAATACTCTGTGGCGAGAGATGTGTAGTGCACTATGTAAAGAACTAAAAAATCCATACTTACGAGCAATGTTTTCATTCCTCATAAGTGACAGTGACAATTATGACTCAGTATTGGTGAGTTTTCATATCAATAGATATTCATCATCATGTTTATTATATTGGTTTCTACGATTTATAGAATCCTTGTGTGCGATCTACAATCATGGCCAGTCTTGAAGATGTGTGTGATATACAAGTTATCACCAGTGTTTGTGTTTCCTTATTTACTGCCTTGCCTTATTGTAGGCATTCTAATTTCATTTAGCTTTATAGGAATTACTACACCCTACTAACACACACACACAACAAACATTGCAGCACCTTTGGTGTACATATGTACATAACAAGAATTCCTATTTAGTATGTGCAAATTCTCATTACACTTGTGACATCTATATGTGTGCTCGTGCTTTTGTTTCAAAATCAGAAACTTTGCTTATCAGATATCAATGTACTAGAAGTTTTTCTCACGATGTAAATGCTCGTCTAGTTTTTGACCAATCAATAAATGTTCT